AGTGAAAAGGAAGGAAGGAGGTAGGAAGAGAGGGAGGGAAAAGGAAGGAAGGAGGTAGGAAGAGAGGGAGGGATTTGGGGAGGGGGGGGATCCGATATGGACAAGGAGGAAAGGAGAAAGGTGGGCGGAAGCGAATGGAGAGGTAGAAGGAGAGGAGGAGGAGGAGGAGAAGGGAGGACAAGAGGACAGGATTTCTGATAAGGAGCTGGAGGTGGATAACGATGGGCAGGGGAAGGGGTAGGGGTAGGGGTAGAGGTAGGGGTAGAGGTAGGGGTAGAGGTAGGGGTGAAGTAGGGGTGGGGTAGAGGTAGGGGTAGAGGTAGGGGTAGAGGTAGGGGTAGAGGTAGGGGTAGAGGTAGGGGTAGAGGTAGGGGTAGAGGTAGGGGTAGAGGTAGGGGTAGAGGTAGGGGTAGAGGTAGGGGTAGAGGTAGGGGTAGAGGTAGGGGTAGAGGTAGGGGTAGAGGTAGGGGTAGAGGTAGGGGTAGAGGTAGGGGTAGAGGTAGGGGTAGAGGTAGGGGTAGAGGTAGGGGTAGAGGTAGGGGTAGAGGTAGGGGTAGAGGTAGGGGTAGAGGTAGGGGTAGAGGTAGGGGTAGAGGTAGGGGTAGAGGTAGGGGTAGAGGTAGGGGTAGAGGTAGGGGTAGAGGTAGGGGTAGAGGTAGGGGTAGAGGTAGGGGTAGAGGTAGGGGTAGAGGTAGGGGTAGAGGTAGGGGTAGAGGTAGGGGTAGAGGTAGGGGTAGAGGTAGGGGTAGAGGTAGGGGTAGAGGTAGGGGTAGAGGTAGGGGTAGAGGTAGGGGTAGAGGTAGGGGTAGAGGTAGGGGTAGAGGTAGGGGTAGAGGTAGGGGTAGAGGTAGGGGTAGAGGTAGGGGTAGAGGTAGGGGTAGAGGTAGGGGTAGAGGTAGGGGTAGAGGTAGGGGTAGAGGTAGGGGTAGAGGTAGGGGTAGAGGTAGGGGTAGAGGTAGGGGTAGAGGTAGGGGTAGAGGTAGGGGTAGAGGTAGGGGTAGAGGTAGGGGTAGAGGTAGGGGTAGAGGTAGGGGTAGAGGTAGGGGTAGAGGTAGGGGTAGAGGTAGGGGTAGAGGTAGGGGTAGAGGTAGGGGTAGAGGTAGGGGTAGAGGTAGGGGTAGAGGTAGGGGTAGAGGTAGGGGTAGAGGTAGGGGTAGAGGTAGGGGTAGAGGTAGGGGTAGAGGTAGGGGTAGAGGTAGGGGTAGAGGTAGGGGTAGAGGTAGGGGTAGAGGTAGGGGTAGAGGTAGGGGTAGAGGTAGGGGTAGAGGTAGGGGTAGAGGTAGGGGTAGAGGTAGGGGTAGAGGTAGGGGTAGAGGTAGGGGTAGAGGTAGGGGTAGAGGTAGGGGTAGAGGTAGGGGTAGAGGTAGGGGTAGAGGTAGGGGTAGAGGTAGGGGTAGAGGTAGGGGTAGAGGTAGGGGTAGAGGTAGGGGTAGAGGTAGGGGTAGAGGTAGGGGTAGAGGTAGGGGTAGAGGTAGGGGTAGAGGTAGGGGTAGAGGTAGGGGTAGAGGTAGGGGTAGAGGTAGGGGTAGAGGTAGGGGTAGAGGTAGGGGTAGAGGTAGGGGTAGAGGTAGGGGTAGAGGTAGGGGTAGAGGTAGGGGTAGAGGTAGGGGTAGAGGTAGGGGTAGAGGTAGGGGTAGAGGTAGGGGTAGAGGTAGGGGTAGAGGTAGGGGTAGAGGTAGGGGTAGAGGTAGGGGTAGAGGTAGGGGTAGAGGTAGGGGTAGAGGTAGGGGTAGAGGTAGGGGTAGAGGTAGGGGTAGAGGTAGGGGTAGAGGTATTGGTAGCGGCGAGGGGAAAAGGGAGTGCGTGGGAGAGGTGAGTGATATGGGGTGATATGGTAGGAGTAAAGGAATAGCGAGAGAGGGTAGGGAGGGGGAGGGGGCAAGGTGGGGGGGGGAGATCCGTAAAGTTAGTGAAGAGTCGGAAAGTCAATGTGGCGCCGACCCTCGGTCTCGAACTGGTGGCTGAGGAAGATGTGAACATTTGAATACTAACAAGAAAGGAGGAGAAGAAGGAGGAGGAGGAGGAATAGGAACAGGAATAGGAATAGGAATAGGAATAGGAGGAACAGTAGTAGTAGTATTAATATGAGGAGGGCCAGGAGAAAGAAAAAGAGGAAGAGGAGAAAGGGGGAAGTGGGGAGTGGGAGGAAGAGTAGGACCAACAGCAACAATAACAAACAGGAAAAAAAAAACAAGATGAAAATGAAGGTGAATGCGGAGTAGAGAGAAAAAAATAGAAGCTTGCCACATCATCAAATTACAGAACGACACTTAATTAATTGCCGATGCCGTTAATTTCACTGCTTCCTCTGTGAGTGAAAGTTCGATAATGAGTGTCCGACTCTTACCCCTCCTCTCCCTCTCCCTCTCCCTCTCCCTCTCCCTCTCCCTCTCCCTCCCCCTCCCCCTCCCCTCCCCCTCCCCCTCCCCCTCCCTCTCTCTCTCTCTCTCTCTCTCTCTCTCTCTCTCTCTCTCTCTCTCTCTCTCTCTCTCTCTCTCTCTCTCTCTCTCTCTCTCTCCCCTCTCTCTCCCCTCTCTCTCTCTCCCCCCCCCTCCCCCTCCCCCTCCCTCCCTTCCTTTTTCCTTTTTCCCCTCTTATTGATCGTTGACCAAGAAAACGTTCTTATGGCTTTGTTAACCACCCTTCAGTGACGTCATTCGCTTTCGTTATGACGTCATGCACTTAATTGTTAATACCTGAATAACTCTTCGCCGTCACACCGCCGTCATTAATACCACCGACCACGTGGACGTACTTTGATCGTAAGCCCTTGACTTGGGCTGAAATTACAGCACTTTATGAAACGTGTTCGAGTGTAGTTCGGCTGGTTTTCGAGCGGATTACGGGGCCATTAGACAGGTGTTTGGTGTGTCATATGCAGTACTGGAGTGATTTTTTTTCTTCTTCTTCTTCGTTTTTGATTCACTTTTGTATTGTTTTGTGTGTGTGTGTTTTTTTATGGGTATGGTAAAGGTTGTTAGTGGTTCTTGGGTTTTGTTCCGGGAGTTTTTTTTTGGTATCGTTTTATTGCTTTGGTGTACGATTGGCTGGAAGACTTCTTAGACTTTTTTTCTCCGTTTTATCGTGATATATCCTCTCTTGACGAATTAATCCACTTTTCCCTCTTTTCCTCCCCATACATTCCGTCACCCCCACCCCTCCTCCGTTGCCCCACTCCCCCTCCGATCCCCCGTGCCTTCTCCGTCTATCGTGAAATACGTGATGGCTGCGGAAGGTTCAATTACAGGCTCCAGCAGGGGGTCAGTCTCTCTCTCTCTCTCTCTCTCTCTCTCTCTCTCTCTCTCTCTCTCTCTCTCTCTCTCTCTCTCTCTCTCTCTCTCTCTCTCTCTCTCTCTCTCTCTCTCTCTCCCCTTCTCTCTTCTCTCTCTTCTCTCTCTT